GCGGCGGGCGGCGCCCCCTGCCGGGCGGAGGTCACGCAGCGCTGCGGGCGGACAGACGTACCGGTGCGCGCCTATGGGCGGACAGACGGACAGACGTACCGGTGCGCGCCTATGGGCGGACACACGGACACACACACCGGTGTGGGATTGTACAGACGGACACATGGACACGCATGCCGGTGTGGGTGCATGGACAGACACACAGACATGCGTATGGACAGAGACATGGACATGTGCATAGGTGTGGTCATACACGTGCAGAGGCACGGACACGCACACAGAGGCGCAGGCATATATATACACCCACACGTATAGGTGCAGGCAGACCTGTGCACACGCACACACACAGGTATGCACGCATGCACACACCTGCCTGCAGGGGCACACGTGCACAGGCAGACACACACGCGTGTGCGCACACCTGTGCATACGTACTCTTGCACTTCCATGCGTACGCAGCACACAGACACATGGCACATACAGGCACACGCACGTATGCACATGCAGAGACAGGGATACACGCACACCTGGGTACATCCACATGTGTGCACACATATACATACCCACATACGCACATCTGTGCATAGATGCATAAACATACATACACACAAGCACACACGTATACTTCCTGTGCACATACATAGTCATGCATGCATGCACACACACGTACACACACACACAGGCACAGGCGTATATATACACCCACATGCATAGGTGCAGGCAGACCTGTGCACACGCACAAATGCTCGTGCACGCACAGGCGCACTGGCAGCATGCAGGTGCGGTGGGCTCCTGGGGACCCCAGCACCCCTCGCCCCAGGGACCCGTTTGGGCAGGTGTGGGCCAAGCGGGTGCTGTGGTGGACTCAGCACCCACCCGGCGAGAGGCAGGAGCCCGCGGGTGCCACATGCCACCCTGTGCCGCCCTGGGGCGCATGTGGCCCTGGCACCCGTGTAACCTGTCTTTGCACAGGCAGGCGGGGGCAGGACACTGCTGGACGCGGGCAGGGGGGCAGCGGGTTTATTGCCTGAACAGAGCATCCAGAGCAGCTGAGCCATGGGTTGCCCCGGGGGGCTCAGGGGCACAATCCTGCCCTGGATTTTGGCTGCCAAGGAGTCCTGTCTTGGCGGTGAGCGCACAGTGCACCCCGGTCTCTGGTGGTCCCAGTGCAGGGTGGGCTTCCCTGGGGTTGCCGGTGGCTGTCAGCACTCGTACTGTGGTGGGGCACAGCGCCCAGCCCTGTGGGGCAGAGCAGCCATGAGCGCTGTGCCAGGGTCCCTGGAGAGGGGGCATCCCCAGGCTGGGGGCACTCGGGATGGGGGCAAAGCTGGGCTCTGCTGGGGCTCAGCCACAGCAGGGTGCCTAGGCTGGGGGCACTGGGACTGGGGGACACCGGGACTGGGGTGCACGAGAGGTCCCTGAGCCGAGGGCAGCGGGGAGTGGCGTAGGGGTGGGAAGTCCCAGGGTGGGGAACTCCCAAAGCTGAGGAGGCTGGTGGGGTTGGTGTGGGGCCCCACAGCTGGGGACATTGGGGTACATGGGGGGGTCCCAGGGCTGGAGACACTGTGGGAATGGAGATATGTCCAGGGTCCCAGGGATGCGGGCTAGGCTGGGAAGGGGGTGATGCAGGGGACGGGCAGGGGTCCCTGCTCACCTGCAGGCCCTGGTGACGCACTCGAGGCCGTGCCGGCAGTGGGCACCCAGGGGTCTGCTGCCCACCATCCTCCAGAAGGGTGTCATGCGGGGCAGCCGGGGGGCCGCATGCCCCCCTGTCCCCCGGGGCTCCTGCAGCACCCAAAGGGGTGGATGGGGTGGGGAGGGGGGTGCCAAGCCCCCTGGCCCCTGGCGCCTGCCCCCCATGCCCGGACCCACCTGGAGAGAGCCGGGGAGAAGCAAGAGGAGGGAGAGGAGCAGCGCCAGGCTGGTGGCGGTGCCCAGGGGGGCAGGGATGGCCCCACTGGCCCTGCCACCTTGGCTGGTGCCTGGCGCGACGGGGGCTGAGGCTGCCATGGTGCTGCTGACTCCAGCCGTCCGGTGCCTCCGCTGGGCACTGCTCCTCCCCGGTCATGGCCCTGCACAAATATTTGAGTGGCCCCGGGCGGCGGGACAGCCCCTCGTCACCCCCACCCCCACCCCAGCTGGGGACTGCCAGTGCCTCTGCGGGGCATCCACGGGGCACCCAGTGCGTGGGCATCACCGTCTGCCGCCAGCTACAGTCCCTGGCAGGTGCCTGGGGGGCAGCTGTGCGCCATCGCTGGGTGAGCTCCACACCCAGTGCCCCCGTGCTGTGCCCAGCCCAGATTTGCCCCAATGCTGCTAGGGCATGTGGGGCAGGTCATCTCCTCCCTGCCTGGTGTCACCCCAGAGGATGGGGTGTGCGAGGTGGCAGTGCCCGCTTGGGACGGGCAGCAGGAAGAGTAGTGAATGGGGACCCGGTAGAGACAGAGCAAAGCTCCAGCATGGGGTTTGGGGCAGGAGAAGGGGCTGGGAGCAGGGCAGGAGGGGGCAGAGATGCGCTGGCTAGCCTGGGGGAGAGCGGGGGACTGATGCAGCCCCCAGCACGGGCAGCAGCCCCCCAGGCAAGACCCCTGCCAGAGTGCGGGCACGTCCCCAAAACCGAGGCTCCTGGTGCTCCCCGCGGGGCTGGCACTGATAGGGTGCCAGGCTGTGCCTGAGGGGTTCACACGACTGTGGGACCTGCAGGAAGAGCCACCCCCCTGAGGTGCACCAGGGCACTGGGCCAGGGGCGCTGCACCCTCCACCCAGCTCTGCCCTGGCAGCCCCGGCGCTGACGCAGGCACGGTGGCGGGGGCCCCCAGGGACAG